CACATTCTGAGGCACATATTTATAATACGACACGGAAGTGGCGAGTAAGCCCGTTCTCAATGCCAATATTTGGTGGACCTGCTTCGCCACTTCATCATGCCTCTTTTTGTATTCCAATTGTGAATGGCTGCTACATCCACTTGTGTGTTGTTATTATTATTATTATTATTATTATTATTATTGTTGTTGTTGTTGTTACTCTATTTCACGACAAAACATGATATGAGCAAGTTGAATATAAAATCTACTCAGAGTTCCAACCCGAAGCTTCCTAAGGAGCAGATCAAGGGACTGTAGGTGCCTCTACAATACTTTGCATTAAATGTGCATTGTTCCCAATTAAGCAATGTCTTGCACTTCCCAGACATTTAAATGATCTAAGAGTTTAGTCATGTTCTTAGACAATTTTTGGGGAATAAATCCCAGAGCTCCGATGATGATGATCATAATTAATAATAATAATAATAATAATAATAATAATAATAATAATAATAATAATAATAATAATAATATATTATTTTCGACACAAAAACTCTAATTGCCGGACTCTGGTAACGATAAAGTGTACAAATCCAGTTGCTAAATACGGAAAAACCCTTAAACACGTAGTGTGTTAGCATAATCCATGTTTTGTGGGTCTTTGATTCTGAAAAACCGATTGACCGTAAAACGTCTGACCGTCCGTCTGCCTGTGTACATCGCTATCGGCTAAAACCGTTCAGCCGGTTTTCTCCAAAACTGATATTCTGCCCGTCCCTCCGTCCATGACTGTGTGAAACGAACAACCCGATACCACAAAAAATAGTATATGAAATGTTTACACGATCTTCTTTAGGATTGTCGCAGGATGTATACTTTGGTAAAGATTAATACAAAAAGTGCGGAAAATAAATATTTTAAATGATAAGGTGGTACCAGATTTTTTTTCTCGTTAAGTGCACGTGAATATATATTCTGCCAGAAGCCAATGGCGGTGCAGCAGAACAGGTTCCTAATTGAATTGCTAGAGGCCAGTAAGAGGGCATAGGATAAAATTGTTTAATCTAATAGCAATGTACTGTAAAACAAAATGAATGGAAATAATAGTAAAATTTTGCTAAAATTTGAACCAATTACATTAAAAATAATAATCCTGTTGTTTATATTGATATTTTCCCTCTTTCACTAGAAATGGGTATGAAGAGAGCCCACGCAACGCCGGATATTTTAGTAGTATGTATGTATATTAATATTGCTTTCATTTGTCCACAGCTGCTTGGCCTGGGAGTGTTGGCCGTAGGAGTTTGGGCATGGACTGAGAAAGATACTTTCAACAACCTCAGCCGACTGACAAATATTGCATTGGATCCTGCCTTCATCCTCATACTTGTTGGTGAGTTCTTGACGCATCCCGAAGGTTATTGCATTATAAAAGGAGCTTTACAATAAGTTTCATTATACAAAAGATTGATATTGAAAATGCAACTACTATACTCGCCATCTTGTGCTTTTAGGGAAAGATCTTAAATATTTCAAATAATTTACATTTAAATGAATATGGATGTATTCTTAGCATGCTACTCTAATTTATAAATTGGATTATAAATACTTCTGCGTACGTTTTTTAAAAATTAAAATTATCTGTAAGTCCTGGATATAAGCTTTTTAATACAGAATTAGCTGGATTGCATTGGTGTGCATTGCATCTTTACAATACAATGTGATCAGAAAGGAATTAGTATTTGTATACACCTACGTACTTTTAGAAAGCAAGAATCTTTCAGTGTACAAAAAATCTAAAACTGAAATATCTCAGTCTTGATTATCTTGATTATTTTATTTAATTGATTTTACTTTTGCTTTCTAGGTGCAGTCACTTTTGTGATTGGTTTTACTGGCTGTGTAGGTGCACTGCGGGAAAATACATGCCTGCTGGCTGCAGTAAGAGAAATTAAATATATTTATCTGTCTTTCTGTTCATCCTTTTTGTGGTTTGTGTTCTACTCTCAAAACACTACTGACAAAACCCAGTCAAAAAATGCGCGGGACATTCACAAAACTATTATCTGATTGAATTATTGAAACGTTACACACACTTAATTTAACAACAAAAACTCGATTTTAATTATTTTTCACTCCTGATCACTTTGGTCAGAGTGTTCAGTTTCTGGCTATTTGAACATTATTATAGTTTAATATTATTATAGGTTTTCATTATGATGGTAATTTTTCATTTAAAATAAAATATCAACCACGTAAAACATTGATGTGAAAAAAAACATCTGCTAAAAAAATGCTGATCTTAAATCCATCGATGATTTTACAATATTAATATTTAGACTGGCTTGGTGGTTCAGGGCATCAACTAATATCATTGCAATGTATCTGAGAACCTACGGTTGGAGTCTCGACGGTTGCAGGATTTTCGACACTAGCTTGTCAGCAAGGTCGAATTCAGCCGCTGCCTAAAGGAGAATTCTAACAACTGGCTGCTCTGATCGGTAGTTTTCCATGGCTTCTCCGATTAACACCAGGCGAATGGCGAAGCAGTACCCTAAAACGGGTTATGGACCGCCCGTGATTTTTCCTTCTCTTCTTTGTTCTATCCTGACCCCTTACACACACACACACACACACACACACACACACACACACACACACACACACACACACACCTACATTCACCACACTACCATACTTTTCGGAAGACCAGTCTGGGGCTTACAGCTTGACCCGGTTGGGGTGCTGCCCCTCTGGTTAGAGATACCTAGATAGGGAAAACCCTGCAAGCCGGCTTGTAGGTCAGCGCAAGATCTCGCCAGATTAAAATAGGACAAAATGAACCTTGCGCTTCTTAATAAGGCAAAATGACCCTGGAGCTCGTTCTTGTAATCAGATGATGTGCCAGTTCACGCCTAACTTAGCTGATTCACAATCTAGCGATAAATATAACTATGGTGGCTACAGAAATGGTTTTCTATTTCCTTTCCTGGTCTCTGTTAGCTTATCGAACTTGCCACATATTCCTGCCTGCTGCCATCTATCCCGCCTAAAGTACATTTTTAATTTTCTTAAATTTTTGGGTTTCCTAATTGTAGACTGGAAATATTATTTTAAGATTATTATGGAAATATCCGACCTAAGTAGCAGTAAACTCTCGTCCTAAGTGGCAATTTTCTTTCAAAAATTTGGAGCCGTTTTTAAAAAACTGACGTTTAAGCGCTACTGTAAATTCGAAAATTGAAGCTCTTTATCACAGAAAATTTTTGAGTTTTCTAAAAACTTCATTTGAAGTTGTTTTAAGTACATTAACTCACAGATACAATAGTGTTTACAAATTTCTGGAAATGTGCATACCACCGGCGTGAGAAATCTTTAAAAAAATTTACATTTGTGTAATTTTTTCAGTAGCAAAAAAAAAATACACCGAAATTAACTTTACGTCATATTTAAGAGCGCACTTAGCTCTATATGTTCGAAATGTTTGAAGAAAAAATTTCGTGCGGTTTTTAAGAAAATGGTGTTTGTGTTTCTGAAAATGTGGAATTTCGAGCTAGTTTTCACAGAAAACGGTAGTTTTCGGGAAACTTTATATGGCATTATTTGAAGCACATGTTCTCATAAATACAGTAATGTGAAGAAATTGACGCCAATACAAATATTAACGACTTGAGAGACAAGTCAAAAACATTACATTTTTGTAACTTTTGAAAAACTACAGAATAGAGCAATATGGCACATATGTCATCTTATAGAGTGCATTTAGCACACCACAAGATTTTTTTTTTTAATTTGGGGCCTTTTTTTAGAAAATTTTGAAAATGTCCGGAGGGTTTAATCTAAAGAACCCCCAAATTTTGAAGAATGTTTTTCAAAATCTCAAAGTATTGGCTCGAACGAGATTGACACGGCTTTCTTCATTTTGAAAAAATCCTACGTATGGTTTAGGCGCTAGTAATGTTCACAGACACCAGACGAACTTTTTGAAAAAAATACGTTTTCAGTATCAGGGTCCCCCTAAAAGTGCATTTTCGTAGAAATCTCGAAATCGATTTTCCTCAGCACTAACATAACTTTCCCCGTACTACGTATATTACTCCGTATATACGTACGTATGCGGGAAAGTAAAATGGATGAAAAAATGAAATCTTATAATTCGTTAATATAAAATTAATAATAGAAATTAATAATTAATAATAATAGAATGTTGTTTATGTACGAGTATAAGCGGCATTGTGTTCACTTTGTGAAGATCTGGTCCTCTGTCGTTGATATTCTGGTATTCTCCATATCGCTGGAAACTTTCTTTTGTATTTCTTCTACAGCAAATAATGCAATGTTTCCTTCGGCTGAAGTACGGACGCAGTATTTGCGGGTTACAGTTCCTTTCCTTTCCCAGACCATTTTTTTGTTATCTTCCTCAGATTTAAAATATTGCGTTGTTTTCCGGTTTACCATTCATTATTCTTGCACTATGTCAGCATTTCAACTTATGATCTTAATTCTTCTTCTGCTTTCTGTTCGCCTTTCCATTAAGACATCGAATTGTCTCTGATAAACAGCTTTTAGTTTCATTTCTCATTCCGATTAAGTGTCTCGATCCCTATTCCATCTTCCGTATCTCATCATCCATACATTAATTTACTCGATTGTTTCAAAAGTAAGAGAGATTGGTTACGTCGCCATCGTCGTTGACGCCATATGCTTCGTTGTCGTCACCGTTACCGTCATCGTCCTAATTCCCATCCTCGTCCTCGTCCTTCTCCATATCTTCCTAACCCTCATCATCTGGAATAGTTGTAAACGTGTATGTCTATATCATATAACCTTCCGAAGAAAGAGAAAGAATAAATTGGATTATTTATAAAGGAAAATTAGTGACTGTAAATCATCTTAAAAAGTATTGACGTTAAAAAAAATGAGATAATGTTGTCTCTAGTTATATTCAAAATTAGAGTGTTTCATATTTCCCTTTCAATGTAATATATACCTACAGTAAAACATTAATTTGTATTATTGATGGATTTGCGAAAATAAAGTAAAGGAGAATTCCCCTTTACGTAGATAAATGGGTCTCATTATTCGACCGGGATGAATTTACCTACAATAAAAATAAGCAATTACTTAGGATCTCTCATCTATGGTAGGGTCTGCGTTTGGAGGAAAAATGGGGAAAGTACAGTTAAAAACGTATGGAGAATCCCATACTTTGATGTTTGAGTTATTAAAGGATGGGAAAAATTACGTTTATTATAGAATGAGAATGTGTGAAATTGTGTAGGATGTAAAATAAACAATTGATCGTGAAGATACCTCTCTTACGCCTGTGTCACAAGAGCGTTGCGTTGACGCGCGTTACCTAACGCCGATGACGTCAGCTGCGTGGATGCCTGTGCACACGAGTCACTTAACGCGCGTCGTAGATTAACAATGTATCACATACGAAACTGCCCACGAGCGCTCTTGGGGACTTGCGTTGTGCCCACAGTTCAAGCTAGAACATAAGTCAAGACAACGCGCGTTGCCGAGCTTTCAACGCGCGACGCCCGCTAGGCGACGAGCGTCGGCAACAACGCTCGTTCCAAATGGTATTGTGCCAAGCAGAATGGTGTAAACTGCGGGAAAATTGGAAGTAACTATCGTAAAAGCAGGGTTTTTCATTACATTATGAATATCCGGAAACTGATGGGACCGACGAGAAATTTTGTAAATACCGGGAAAGCCTAGATTGCGAGGAAGTGAAAGCAGGGGTTTACTGTACATTTCTATTCTTTCTTTTTTACTTACTGTTTTTAATTAACTATGGTTTTTGCTTTTATATTATTTCTGTACGCTGAGTGTTTTTTTATACATTTTATTCTTTTACATTCAATATAATGTTTTTAAGTAAAATATACTCCGTGTAACTGTAGTTTCAACAATTTTCAGCACTTGAATAGTCGCAAACTGCACCTGGAATGTTGTTGTGATTTTCATTTGAAACTATAAATATCCACCAAAAGCTAATTGTGAATTAACCCCTCAGAACCTGAGAATTGAATGTTTTTCTTTAACTAGTCTAGAAAACATATGCAAATGAAAAAAAGTTCTAGGAAAAAGGAGCCTAGAGGACCCGGAAATGTATCCCCCTCCCCCTCTTATGTAGACTGTGCTTACCTATGCTCCGTAATAGTGTTGTTCAAGATATTGTTATGTTCTTCAATGCCTAGACATTTGTACCTTTTGTTAAGTTTTGAATCACAGTGTGCATATCAACTTGAATATTCTCTGTCATTACCACTTTGCTTCTCTTTAACTTGACTTTTGAAAATTTGTCAAGAACACATTTCAATTGTAATTACAGCATTATAATTACATGCCAATTGTAATTTCAGAGATTTATTGTATTTTAGAATTAAATTTAGTTGTAGGTTTTTTCACTTTCACATTTCAGTTAAATTTTTTTTTTTTTCTTCATTCAGTTAGCAAAGTTATGTATGAATATTAATATCAGATTTAGGAAACATAAAATTTTATTCTATATTGTACAATTGTCGTTTAGCAAAAAATGTGAGAAAATATTATGTTGCTATCTTTTTACACTTTTTTCTTTGTTACTAGTATGCAATTTTCCTGGCCATCCTGTTGTTGCTGGAGATGACTGCTGGAATTCTAGGCTTCATCTGTAAAGATTCAGTAAGTTGCGTCCTTCATTTCCATCCACTGAATACACCAAAGTTATCTGTATTAAAGCTTTGTTCATTGAATTGTTTGTAAAACAATGTTGCCATCATAATTTATTAAAACCTGATTTTATTTTGTTTTTGCATGGCAACAGTTGATTATAGAATTTGAATCACAGGTCATTTTCAAATTACTCTTTCACGACATATATAAAAATGAATGATCATTTGTGAACTTTTTCATTTTTTCCTATAGATAAAACGTCAAGCAACTGATGGATTTCAAGCATTCATTGTACATTATCGAGAAGATCCTGACCAACAGAATCTTATTGACTGGATTCAAGAAGATTGGGTAAATTTATTAGACATAAAGACTATTGTAATGTGTGGTATAAGTGTATCAAATATTTTTATTTACTTAACAAAATAAAACAAAAATATATACTCACATGTAGTTAAAATCTGTATGTGTCAGGTGGGTTACAAGTAAAATTTCATTCTGTGAATATTTTCATGAGCTTCTGAATCTCTTTCTCTTTGCTCTTTATTATACTTGATTGATTTCAAAATAAAAAAGCAACAAGCATTTTTGGTAAAATTTAATAGTAAGAAACATTTGTATAATTGAGTCATTTGCACTAGCAATGTTTGCATTGGCTAATAAGTTACAGAATTTGACTCACAAATACTGTCACATCCTATGTGAATGAATCCACACACATTAAGAAAACATGATTTTTTTTAATTCAATAATAAAACTTTGCTAAGATGGTTTATTTCTCTTAGTGAGTGTGGATAAGAAATAAATATTATCTTCTTTTACTTACTGAAATAATGCATGCACTTGAAGTGAATTCTGTTGTTTCTGTAGTTGCAGTGCTGTGGAATTGAAGGACCCAAAGACTGGGACCGAAACAATTATTTCAATTGTTCATCTCGTAAAGTTGGAAGTCGTGAAGCCTGTGGTGTTCCATTTTCCTGTTGCAAGAGAAAACCAAATGTAAGTACCAAGTCAGTTGGTTTTATGATAAATTTTTGTTGGTTAAAGTTTAATATAATACTTGAAAATATAAATATTTGTTTATTTTTTCTTTGAAGATGTTGTTTATTGGTTTGAGTGATAATTCTGGGTATTTTAATACAGGAAATAATCAAGAATAAACAGTGTGGATATGATGTGAGAAAAGAAGAATACGTAAGTATTACTTATTTTGTATTCAGTTTACATTTTTGATATGCTAGTGAAAATACCACCAAGCGAGACTTTCTTCTTCTGAAATTTTAATAAGAGAATAAATAAATGTAAAGTACAATAACTGTTCTTATAGGAAGCTAGTATATTGATTCCTTGTTTAGTTTTAAGGACTTCAGAACTCTCTAATGATCTCAACACATGCAGAAGAATTTTATTAATTTTTATGTGCATCTTGATTTCAAAATCAAAGGAAATTGGAATTTTTAATTATGAAATTTTACTCTCTTTTTTATCTTCAGAACAAGCTTTCTAGTTATTGATTTGAAGATTTGGAATAAAAACAAACATAGATTACACAGATCTGCTCAAATAAAGTAATTGAAAATTGTTTGTTATCTTTTATCTCATTATTGCAGAATTTGGGGTGCTGATTTTAGATATAATCATCGATATAAATAATTATATCTTCATTTATATTATTTTTCAAGAATAAGAATGAATATTAAAACTGTTTTAAGCAGAAATATTGATCCAACCCACCCTCTAATTCTGTTTTTCATATTTTTAAAATGCTTTTTGCATTCCTAGTTTCCTTCTGCACTTTTTTAAATGTCACTATGTGTGGCAGTTCTTTGTGTATATCCTGTAGTCTTATCTCATCACAAGGTCAAAGTACATTTTACTTAAAACTTGATAGATATTCCCTAGTATCTGATTTCCCCTTTTTGACATTTTGTGATGTCTTTTAATGGGTTCAGTAAAAATATTTTTTGTAAAGGAACCAAATGAAAAGGTTGAATCATCTTCAATTCAACTTCTCAAACATTACGGTAGTAGGTCTAGAGCCTATGCCCATACGTATCTCTACTATAGAACATATTCCTACAAGATAGAGGAGAAGAATCCCAGCTGTCCATAAAATATGAAAATAAATTTAAAATCATAGCACAACTCCAACTGTTAATCATTCTTTATCAGAAAAATAAAATTCTTGATTCTCTTCAATACGTTTTTCAATACATGAATGGGGCATTGTTTATCTATTTTGTTGCTTATTTCAATTTCACTAAAGGAAATATTGAAAAATGTTATAAAACTTTGGAAAATTTAACTTTTATAGACAAGATGTTAGATTCCTCAACCTTGTACACTCAGATAGGAGTAATAGTGAATTTGTTTTTGTTAAAATTATAATATACTACTACAATTCTGAATTATTTTATTCTTGTGAAATTAGAAAGAGAAAAAATATGAAATTCTTTTTAATAAAATTCACTGTGTCTGCCGGCTTAGTTTAAAAGAATTTTCTCATATATGCAAGATTGGTACCAGTTGATTGCTTTATTTTATCATTTTCAAAACAATATCCATGAATGTGCATAAGTCAACTTCAATTTTTCAAACAATTTTCCATTGCAGATCTATATTATGTAGCCCGTGATAATTGAGTGGATAAATGTAGTAATAATATAATTATTATGAAATTTGAAAAGAATGCAGCTATTCTGGTCACAAATTAATAAGATTACCTATTATAATTTTCTTTCCACTAGGGCTTAGATATAATTTAGTCTCAATACAAAATTTAAGAAAGCTGCTTTCTTTTCTTATTTAATTTTTCTTTTCTATTAAACAAAGATTCTAATATTAGATTTTTATTAAAGTTTCCTAGCTATAAAAATTGATTGTGTGTTTGTCTGTTTGTTTGCTTGTTTTTGTGATGTCTGATGAATCAGAATATCTCAGAAATTAGAAATTGCCTTAAGTACCACTACTTCACAACCTAATTTTTTTCTGACTATGTGTTGAAAATGTTTTGATTTTTATCTCTGTACATTTCTCAGAAACAAAAGCAACAAACAACCAAACAATATTCTCTTTTGAGTCTGTGACTGCTTTTAGTTTGCGAAAGAATATAATACATCTGTGAAATGTAATTGTGCATGTATTGGCTGTTTAACTTTTGCTGGAAGGTGATGGCAGAATAACTGAGAGGAATGTTGCTTTAATCCTACTACATTTCCTACCGCTCTATGACAACTCATTCTTTCATGCTGTTGGTTCTGGTTATTTGCTCCATACGTATTCTTGACTCACCTTCTAATGGCAGATGAATCATTACTTGCATTACTGATCTTTATTCCTTATTCCTACAGATGTAATGTGGGTAGTGTGAGAGTTACGGCCCATCTTTAGATTTTTCAAATGGAGATACCCATTATATACCAACTTCAATTTGTCCAGAAACAAATCTTAGAAAACTTTGTTGTAATATAGTAGTGTATATCTAGTCATTTACGTAGACTAGTTGTATTTGTTGTAAGAATCAGATCATTTGGAACTGAATTGAGACCTGTGTAACAAATGTTTTTGACTTGTGGGTCCTGGCTTAGACACTACTCTACCTAACACAAACTAAGAGCTGTCGCCTCTGCTTGAGACCTGGGCTGGCTAACCCTCGCCCTGTTGTGCAGACGGGGGAGCGAAACATCTACGAGAGGGGTTGCTTGCGAGCAGGGGAAGAGTGGGTGGAGGCCAACTTGGTGCCTGTAGCAGGTGTGGCTGTGGGCGTGGCGGTTCTGCAGGTAACGACCTGCCACTTCAATCCTCACTTTCAGTTGTGATTCTTCCAAACTCACTTTGTTACAGCTTTCGTCAGCTAAATAGTATTGTATCTTAAAGTTTTAGATGATTTGCCAATGTAGGTGGTATTGATAAATTAATTAAACATTCGTGCATTATTCTTTAGTTGAGGAAAGATGTTCAAGCTAATGGATTTGGAATAGGATCACAGCTTGTATTCAGGATTTATAATATGAATGTATGTAGTTTGTGATTCTTCGGTGTTGTAATGCCTGGTGGTGTTTCTACCTCTCAAAAATTTCAGGTAAAAGGTACTTGAGAAGGATTTAAGTATTGTTTAATATATTTTTTTTCCTTTTTATGATTTGTTACACAACTTGATTTAGATCAGTTAATTTTTATATTCAGCAGTATTATGACTCATCAAAACTGAATTGCTTTAATCTTCCTCTTTCTCAAGTAAAATGTTTGCTTCTCTGGGTAATGTTTCGGCATTATGGGCAAGGTATGGCTTCTGTGCATGGCTTATAAACACAGCAAAAGGTCTGACTGGAGTGATTCCTGCTGCATGATATGGATCAGGTAATTATATGTTAGATTAGTGACACTTGAAGATTTTCCAGCCATATGATGTAAGCAAGATCATCAATGAGAAGGGCTGTGTCCAGGCAGGGGAGGAGTGGATTGAACGCAACTTACTTATAGTGGCCATTGTAGCTGTTGCTACAGCTTTCTTACAGGTATGAAATGTTAATTTTTAAATATTTTTTTCTCAGCAGAATAAAACATTTTTAAAGTAGAACTTGTGTGTAATTTACCTGATATTTTTCTTGTAAAATTTCTATTTGAATCATGGTTTGTGTCATTTATTTATTTATTTGAACTTATGCAAATTGGAATTCCTTTATTAATGAGACTTAGTAGTTAATGAACATGCTTTAATGTAAGTTTCTTTATTCAAAATGAATTTGCCTTCAGATTAGACAGGTAAACATTGTTCAACTTCTCAGCACTTACATATTTCCTGTCTCTCCTGGTAGAAATTTTATTTCCTTTTATTGAAATCTGATTGTCATGTTTTCTTACTGAGCACCATGCTGATTATTGTCTTATATCTATTGTTATTTAATCATTAATGTATTCATTAAATTTTTTTCATATTTAGTCCAATTATTTCAATGATTATTTTTTCAACAAGGTTAAGAAATTGATTATATGTGAAAGTAAATCAGTTTTAAGTGGGGTCATTTTAATTTTTTTATTTAATCTACTTCTTTCTTTGTTCCATACAGATTCTAGGAATATGCTTTGCACAAAATCTCCGTGCAGACATATTTGCACAGAAAGCAAAGTGGCATTGACAATTACGGGCCCCCACTGCTGTCTAGTGGCAGCCGCGGCTGAAGTGAGCTGGCTTGCACTAACTGGTTCAATGCAAGCAGCTTCTTCGCAGTGAGGGGCCCCCTTGATGCTACTGCTTACCCTGGAGGGTAAAGTGACAATGCTACCACTCAGCGAAAAATTTGGACAATTTTTATGAGAACAATATACATAAATATGATAAATATATATAAATATATAAATATGTATAGAGCATTTTTAACAAGTACTATGTGTTCAACTTATGAACAGCTGTGCACTTCACTTACAAGATTGAAATACATGTGCCAGATGAAATGAAGCATACTTCTGGTAAATTTGTTGGATTGGTTGAATCTTCATGAACACCAACTTGATGCAAGAGTAGCTTTCTTTCAAGAGCTTTTAAAATCAATATTGCTGGTTAATTTTGTTCTTTAATCACATATCCAAATTTGAGCTATTCTTTTAGAGTCTTTCTACCTGTGAACAATGCATGGAAGGCACTCTCATGAAGTATTATCTATGGTGTGGGTTTCATGCTTATTTTAACGATACCACTAGTTTAGCAATTTCTAACCAGCATCTTAGTTTGTAAGTGATAAATGACATGTCTCAGTTCATATGTGCCAGGACTACATACCACAAAACTAAAATGCTGCTGATCAGCACCTTTGTGCCTAAATTGTCCACAGTGGCCAACTATCTGTAACAGTTTTGCAGCACCAAATCCACGTGATATTCTAGAGCTGTGAAAGTTGCATCACAGTACAAATATTTCCTCCACAGGCCAATATGCCAGTAGGTTTTGTGATCAAGATTGGCAGTCTTAAACTTTCTTAGTGATATTTGTCAAACAAACTGGTAATAAAGAACCTCAAAACTGGAGCATAGTTCACAGTAGCTTGGTATATTTTTAAGTTACGTGTATATTGGTTAATGTTTTGTATGTCATAAGCTCAATTTGGAATGAGATTATCTAGTTTTGTGGAAAAGGGTCATAGAGCATAGTACTTTCTGTGCTATGCTAGACCTGTGCCATGTGGTCCCTTTCACTGTTACATAATTCAATTATGTAAAACAATACTCTTATAGAAATTATCTAGATATATTTTGTTCCAAGAATTATGTAGGTGCTAAAATAATATTACTAATAATTGTGTTTGTCAGAACTGAATGTCAGTTCTGATATCTTTTAATTTAACTTTCTCATGGAGAGAAGCTGATTCTCAAAATCATCAGACCACTCCAAATGAAGTAATGCTCTCGGCAAGAAGTGATCTTGTATTAGGTTTCTTATGCTACGTATTGATATAAAACTGTGATCATGGGTAGCAGATGCTGGGAGATGAAAGTTAGACATTGAGAAACATCAAATGCTTTAACATTGTAAATTGTACCCAATAGCTGGTGATTACAAGAGTCATACCGTATTTAATTCTTTTTTCACTCATTCTGCAGTTAACTGTTTAGTAGGAGTGGATTAATGTAAAAAGATGTCTGTTCATAAATTTGACAAAATATAGGTATTTTTCTGTGAATTAAAAAGCAATCAGGAAGGAAAGCAAAGAGGAAGGTAATACTAATAGTGAACATTTAATCATTTTCATAAATTTAATAATCATTTTTGTGATGTGTCACCAAGTTCTCCCCTCTTCTGCTCTTTTCTCCTTCCTCAAAAGGGAAGAAGTATTCCACTTCCAAGACATTCTATGGATGTTAAGCCATATATATTTACTGAAAATATCTTTTATAAAAAAATAAAAATAAAATATTGTGTTATTTCTTAGCTGTATGTATATTTAGAGAGCTGTAACTTTAAATATATCTCTTAGTAATAGAATTTTAAGTAATAGTTATGTTACTTTTGCTACATTACATTGATCATGTAAACATTTTTGTCTGTGACAAAATTAATTCCTTAGAATTCCAGTGTGAGCAGGACAACATGACTGCCAAAGAAATAAACAAGTGCATGTGATAAATTCACGAAGCAGTACTATGTGTTTAGGTGCTCATCATTTTAAATTTTTGATCTGTGAAGGAGTCTCAACATACAAGATTACTTTGTGGTTGTTCATATCTATAAATAAACATGGTGAACTTTCCCTTGAGCTGTACTATGTAATGTTTACAGAGCCTTAACATTTTACAAATAATGTAACAACATTATTAGAAATCTTATAATGCAAGTATTTTGAATAAAACTATGCCAGATCAGTGAAACCATTGGCGTGTCAGTGTTTGGTCAGTTCAGTGGTGTCACAGGTATGAACATGTTTGTAAAATATTATTTTGTAAATTCACTTCTGTCAAATTAGCCATTATAATGATCACCTAAAATCACTTGTACTTAATCATAAGAAAGATGGATAAAATTTTATGCTGAACATTCAGATGTACATTCCTGAATCCTCAGTAAATGGATACATTTTTTTTGTAAAAAGCATTTGCACATTCATCTACAAATTGCAATTGTGATTTCTGTTTAGCATTTGATAATATTTTTATACATCAGAACCTAACAATATTTTATTTCAGAGTAAGAAACGCTCATTTGATATATTTTATACTTCTACTGGTGTGTTTAGCTGATATTTTTTAATAATTTGTACCATTATGTAATTATATTTCATTTTTATTGAATAATAAAAATTGCTTATATTAAATGCATGCACAAAATGAAAATGCCTTCTTCCTGGTCTGCATTTTTATGTTAAACTCGTGAGTGGAAGGGGGGAGGGCTTGAGGAGTTGCAATGTCATTTTAGTTGACTCAGGAAATTTCTTGTTCTACTAATACAGGAACGTTTTAAGTTGTCTGCAATTTGAAGCATTTTCCAAAAGTAAAGCTAAGGGGAATGATAGAAATATTAAGTAATGAAAATGTTAGCATCATTGTCTCATATTCAAAATTCTCCAAGTACAGGAGATATTAAAATAATAGCTCTTTTAGTAAAAAAATAAAAATATAAAACCTATATTGTTTTCATATTCATGACTTATTTTCATCTGGAGTCGAGATACAAATATTATTCTTTCAATTATTATGAATAAAAAAGAAACAATAGACGTTATTCTCTCTTATTTTTATGTATCAAAAGGAAGAAAATAAACAACGGGCTTAGAGAAAGAACAACATGAGAAAAATGAAGATAATAAAGGGCCTCGAACAGCTCAAAGGACGATGATTGATTTGAATTCTTTGAATTTAAGGTGACAGTCAATTCCTTTCAAAGTTGAGGAATTTTGTTTCATTGAAGAGGTTATTTGGAGAAATTCTGTAGTAGTGGCGGGGAAAGAGCTTGCACTACACCTGGCAATCCTGTACAAATAATACTCTAATAGTACAACATAGTTGTTATGATAATTACTTAACTGCATTGTTTCAGTAATGTAATTACCTATATTAGAACAATTGTGATTAAATAAACAGTATATTGTACAATTTTAAGTTTTAAATGTGTTAATGTATACACTTCTCTTCACAAAGTGAAGGCCAAGAATAAAAAGTATAAAATAAGAATCAGATGACAGACAAAAAATAAAATAATAAAATACTCTTCAAAGGCATCAAAGAAATATAATTAATTTATCATTATTTAGCAAACTTTTTTTTCTTTTTGAGCAAAAACTTTGAAGCAATTTTCAAGAAATCTAGTTTATGTATGTACTAAATTGCCTTTATTTCACTCTATTTTACACATAGATCTTCTTTTATTATGAAAAATTGTGCATGACATTGTTTAAATTTACAATTTTGATGTTTAGATTTCATTAAGAAAAACTTTTCTGTTATAAAATATATAGTTTGTAGCTGGGGTCTAACCATGGTCAATTCTACTCGAGTTGGCGATGGTCCAACAAATTGTGAACTTTTGTGATATTCAAATGTTCAAAGATTTCAATGAAATGCGGCCATGTGCAATTTTTGTGTCATGGCATTATCTAGCTAAAGTAGAAGCAGTTTTTTTTTAAAAATTTGTTTGGGCCTTATTAAGTACTTCCAAAATTAAAATTAAAATTTAATTCAAATTTATAATTTAAGGGGCTGCAACATCAACCAGATTGAGTGGAAAATATCAATTTTGGTAGTCTTTTGTGGTTTAGGTGTTACTGTTCACAGGATGGTCAGACGGATTGCTGAAACCCATGTACGAGGTACCAAGGCCAACAAAATATGGATAATGACTACATTACATACTCAAGAAAGTAATAGAAGCTCACTTTTTTTGGTACCAGGGACAAATAAAACTAGTTCCTCTGTCAAAAATGGACACTTTCCATTGAAGCATTACAATGCTTTCTCTATACAACAAAAGTAGTATATGAGAAAGTTAAAGGTGTAGTATATGAGAAATTTACTTCTTCACTTCATGGGTTAGGGAGATTCCCTGTTCAGACTTCATAACGCCATCTGTGTCGTGGACAGCCAATTCTTCCCCTTGGTCTGAACAGAATGGTATATCGGGGATTCTTTCATGAGACATTCTTCCTAAGTGCTGTACCCACCGTGATCTGCAATTATTTATCTTTTCATTAATAGAAAATATGTTAAGTTTCCGTCTTATATCTTCATTTTTTATTTTATCCTTTAGGGTGCAGTTTTTACTCTATGGAGGAATTTCATTTCAGAGACTTGTATCTTCATTTTATTTTGTTTCTTATTGTCCATGATTCACATTCGTAAGGCAGTTGTGGTACTGGCATGACTTTATAAATTTTTAACAGTGTCCCCTTTTTTAGCCTTATTGCGAAGTTATTTGTTTGTTGCTCACCAGGAATCATGAGACCTTTTCATCAGCACAATTGAAAATTATGTTCATGGTAAGCAGAATCTGCCTTACAGAAATTTTCTAAAACCCAGAAAGAAAATATAGATTTAAAGAATATAATTAGTAGAATAAGCTGGGAACACGATTGAAAAAAATACTTCCAATTTTTTATTTATTTATTTTCTTTACAAAGCATAAACTGTTTTAACATCTTAAAAATTATGTTGTAAGTTCTCATCAATAAAAACCATCATTTTTTAAATTAATTGTACTTCATGTCAATTATACACAATTATTTTAATTCACCATATTTTCTAACAGTATCATCATCACATTACGTTACATAACACTTTATATTAACATTTTACGTTTCAGTCATATATTTGAGGCCTTTATCAAGAGTTGTGTCATTGAAGTCCAATCATTACAGTGAAAATAAATGATCCATATTGACTCTGTCCATATTTTTTATTTGAGCGATTTAAGTAATTGTTAAATCAAATGTTTATTAATTTTGGTAGAAAATTTTGTGTAGTACCTTAAACACATTAAGCCGGGACTCCAGAAAAATGTATATGCATGCCGAAGAGTTACATGAACTTTTTGAGATGAATCTAGATGTGATTTTAGAAAAATTGCTACAATTTTTCATTATAAAATCCTATCGATGTAAATAGTACAACAAGAATTTCATGCGAAAGAAAATTCTCCAATCACTTTATAACATTATAGTGAATTTTGAGCAGCCAGCTATCATTGCGAGTGTTGATTACTAGAATCAAACACCCAGTGCCTTAGTAACAATAGATTGGTGTTCATGGGTCTTCCAGTGTGAAAGGGTGCACTAGTGCTAATGCCTATGCACCCAGTTTCTCACTAAATGTAAAACATGTCAAGTAGATATATTTTAATAGACTTTCTATTCACTTGTTAACCACCAAAGGAGAAACAAACAAACCTTTTTTAGTTATTTTAATGAGAAATAAGAAAGTTAAAACCAAATATCTTTAAACATGCAAAAACTGTGTAAATGCCTTTGAGGAATCCTACATACCAGTACATTGTATACCAAATTAAATTTTTTTACTTTCCAATTTATTTTTGTAGTATTTTAACTAATATTTTGAGGCAAAGTTAAAAACACTTTGACAATATAATGACTTACCTTACTCCATAATCATGCCGGACAACGAAGTAATACATGTTGTGATGACATTATGTTTATTTTCTAAGAAATTAGAAGCATGGGTGCAAACACCTACTCACTCGATTGTAAAGAGGGCCAACATCCAGCACTGATGTAACCAATCCGGGATGTAATTGGAGTAACTGATAAATTGACAATAAAATTCAGTGGCAGCTGGCTGCTATAAAAAGTAACAAAGATGTTTTTTACCAATTCTGAAAACATTTTTTTGCATGAGGAAATTCTTGTAGTTCTCTTTATTTTGGAATGATTTCAAAATGAAAATATAGCAATAATACAGAAAAAACAGATTTTAATTTTTTTAAGTATATTCCAATCTTTAAAATTTAATCTTAATATTTGCCATGCCAATACACTCTTTAATTTTTTATAGAAGCACCTCTGAAAGAACTCTCTTTATAAAATAATTTTACTAAGGAAAATAGTTTATTTTTGTTCATTGTAATAAAATTTATTGAACATAAATATACTTTTTCCATGTTTTCTGCAAAATATTTAATTTCTTTATTGATAGTTTTTCTTCAGAGGACCCCATGCAGGCAGGTGGATGGCCGTTTTGAAAAAAACAAGACTTTGTAGTATCTGAAGACCCCAAATGATGTATTTCCATTAAAAGTTAAAATCTTGACATTGATTATCCACTGCACAACTTAACTTTCTCTTATTGTAAATACATTACTCCTTTTATATAAGAAAGTTAAAATGCTTAATGAAAGTAACAAGGGATTTGTAAGCAAACATGATATAAGATCATTAAAAACAAATTGACAATATAATACATACATTAAAATTTATAAAGGTTTAGCTATAAAATATTTAATAATAAAATAATTCTCATTACAGATTTATACAAATAAGTGTTTTAAGCTGGTTAAGAAGTCTTAATTGTTTTTGTTTTAAGTTGCATATATTTTTAGTTACTTACAATAATAATAATAATAATAATAATAATATTTATTGAGTCATATATACAATTACAATCGTGTATGACGAGTCAATATGATGTCT